GATCCTGAATAGAGTGGGAGAATAATGTGGAACAAAACTCAAAATCATAAAAGCAGACTTAGTTTACTAGTCTAATAGGGCCTGGTGAGACTATGGCCCCTAGTTACCCTGCGGGTCTGGAACTGAACTCACTCCTGTGGCTTCCAGCCAAACGATAGACAGGTATACAGAGTTAACATTTATATCAGGTTGATACACTCCTTACAGTGATCAATCAAATCGTGGGAGAACAGATGGGTAGTGTTTGCTTACAGTGAGATAGTTCAGGGTAGGGGGCCAGGAATGCATAGGAAAGAAGAACACAGGGAAAAGGTAACTATAGGAAGAAAGTCGAAAGAGAGCTGTTACATTGTGGGGAATTACAGTCAATGTCATGAAACAAAAATTATGAACTACTGTATGGCAAATGAATTTGCTTTGTAAACTTTCACCCAAATGACAATAAAAAATTAAAAAAAAAACAAAACAAAAAAAAAACCTTTCTTCAAGTCAAAGCTTACAATCAATTCTTTAATCCCCCATAAGCAGACAGCCAAAGAGTACCAGATGTCCTAAAAAAAAAGCCTAAAATGTAGAAAACAGAAGTGACTACACACAGTTAGGAGGAATTTGGAGAAAGAAGATGCTTCAGGAGAACAATTAAGACACACACACACATAAAATCATGAATATTCTCATAGGAAGTGGAATGAGTCCATAGACAACATAAAATAAGGGTACTTAAAGTTCAGAAATCAAAAAGGGTTTTGAGATTTTAAAATATGATAGCAGAGTTGGAAGACTGATTAAGGAGCTAAAAAATATAGGAAAAAGGTAAGAAAATTAGAGATCTAGTCCTGTAGATCCAATCTCCAAATAACAGTTCTAGAAAGCAGCAGAGGAGAGGAAATCATCAATGAACACAAAAAAATTTCCCAGATCTGAAGTCTATGTTACCACATTGAAAGTCCTCACCAAGTGCACAACACAATAGATGAAAACACTCACATCACTGAGAAATGGCACTATCCTGGGAAACAAGACTCTATAAGCTAAGTCACATACAAAGAACAGAAATCAAAATAGCTTTGGATTTTCCAATATTACACTGTGAACAAGAAAACAATAGAGCAATACATTCAAAATTGTGAAGAAAAATGATCTCCAATCTACATTTCTACAAAGCAACAAGTATGATAGACATGCAAGGCAAAAATTTTATTTCCATGCATACTTCCTTTAGAAGATACTGAAGGATGTGTTCCACCAGAACATGTGAGCTAGTAATAACATGGGAAACATGGAATCCAGAAAAAACAGATTAAGAGAAATGAAATTCCTAGATGGCTATGACCAAAGGGTAGCTCTGATCATGATCCAAGAGACAGGGTGAACTACCCTCACCAAGATCCATGCTCCTTCTGCACTGCTGTTTCAACCTGAAAAGCATCATGCCCAGATGACTCTGGGCCAAATGATCTCTAGGCTTGTCCTTAACATGTGTGACTACATACCAGCTTTCATTCCACACCCAGCTCATGGATCAGCAAGGACACTTGGGTTATCAATCCACAAAGTACTGTTTTGATCTCCCCAGAGCTGGAATTTGATTCACTGTGAACTTAGAACCAGAAAAGTCTACTCCCTCTGATCATCTTTCTGCCAGACACCAATAACCTAGTCTACACTATAGTCAGATGTCCTGTGATGAGTATATATAGAGCCGGACTCACTCATGACCTCAACAATGGACTTCCCCAAAAGTGGCTCTTATAAATTCCTAGGGAAGCTGAAGCCAGACTACGACCCAGAGACTGTCTTGTTCTTTGTAAAGCTTTAACATACCATATTTTCTCACAAACACACACATTCCATGTTTATTTGCCAACTGCTCCCCTCCACCCACAGAGGTATTTTCCTAAGCACTGCTATGCCATTTTTTTTTCCACTTTGCTAAAGAAAACATACAAGTTGGAAACATACACATGAAGCACAACTTATTTGCATACAAATGCAGTAATGATGAGAGTATTGCTCTTCTATACTTGCTAACAGGTTTTTAAAAATAAAAAAAGCAAGGAAACAATTAACACCCAATCAAGATAGTGCCTACATCTGGGAGGGAAGGATGCAACTGGGGACTCACATGTCTTCTCAGATATACTAAATGGTCTGTTTCATAACCTGGTGATGGGTGCATAAAAATCTTATTATTTTGTTTCAATTATACAGTTTTAAAAACTGTCCTCTCTGCTCTCTGTGCCCAGATTCCACGCTTACCGAAGCGCTCTCTGGGGACATTTTCCCTTCTGTTGTAACTTTGCCTCCAGGAAGAGAACGGACATCTTGACCACTTGGCACGTATGTTTCTCTTTTTAATGAACTGTTTATTAATTTTATTTACTTTTTTTAAAAAAAGATCACTGAAATAACAAACATTTATTTAATGACTATGTCATTATAAATGAAATTAAATTGGTCTCAAAATATATCTTGTGAGGAGTCAGTGTATCCTCTGTGAGTCACCAAATTCAATCTCAGAATCAGGGCTTTTTCGATGCTTCAATTTCATCCCATATTGCAGCTTCAATTTTTGAAGTGTCATATTCCCTCATCATATCAAACTCAAGCCATGGCTGATCCCACTTCTTAGCTTCTTTCATTTGTGCTTCTGTTAAACAAAGATCAAATCTGATTCCTTTAATATTAAATTTTGGACGTTCCCAGCGTTTGGACCAGGGCTTGGGCTTCATTTTTACTTTCAACTAAGGAAGACAGAAAAGGAACAATCAGGCTATGAGACATAAGTAAAAATCTCCTAAAGTTTCCAGTAAGTATTCTTTCTGATTTTATATTTGAACTTCCAGTTCCAAGTGTACATCCTATACCTCATTAATAGGAACATCTTGGTTAGATTCTTGTGCTACTGGCTTCATATTCATATCAAAGGTGCTGTATTCAGGTAAGGCATCTCTTAGGTACAACAAGCTATCATCCAGCCGTTTCTCTAATTTAACCACTTGGATCTCCTGAATTCGAGGATTATAAAGTTGAAAGCAAATCTCAACACCTTAAAAAAGAGAAGAAAACATTCTTAATATAAGTTCAGATTCTTGCATATGCGTCATACTATGGGAAACACTTTATCATAAGGGAACTAGCATAGGATTTTACATGTAGGAAATGTGACATAAATTTGAAAAGAAATAGAAATAAACTAAAATCCATTTAGATGAAAAGAAATCTGAATTAGTAGTCTAAAAAAAGTCTTCTATAAACATGCTGAGTCATATCTCTCTTCAATTCTGACAGCATTAATTTGTTTGAGAAAGGCTGACTACATTCTTCACTCTGTCACGTTCTGTTTATTTCCCAATTACTTGAATTAAAATCAACCTTCCACGTTAAGAGCAATAGGATTAACGATGTAAAAGGAGTATGTAAAATTTTAAGTTCTAACTTGGGTTTAGAAGCCCCTCAGGACAGCCTCAGTTTTTCAGCACACTGAGGCCCTCCATTAGAGGCAAGGTAAGAACAGGTTTAGGTGTATCAAGATGCTGCCAGCCACAGTTTAAATATACACCATCTGTATCATTAAACACTTAAGGGCCAGTGTTTTCTGAAATTTCTTGGGATAATCCCAAGTGAAATACAAATACAGTCAACTGTGATCAACACTGAGAAGCTTTGGTGGTACAGTGGTTAAAGCACCTGGCTCCTAAGCAGAAGGTCAGTGGTTCAAACCCACTAGCTGCTCTGTGGGAGGAAGAGGCAATCTATTTCTGTGAAGATTTATAGTCTTGGAAACCCTATGGGTCGCTATGAGTCGGAATTGACCAGGTGGCAGTGTGGATGACAAACATTACATCTAATGTTTAATAACAGGATTTAATATAGTATTTACTGTACACCTACCTATTCTGTTCCAGGTACTGATCTAGATGTGGCTGTAGCAAAATCAAAACAGGCAAGATCCTTCTCCCCTCATAAAGCTTACATTCTAGTGCATGATGACAAACAATAAATCAATAAAATAATTTCAAATAGTTAAGACAATACAGGGTATGACACTGTGGCTGGGACAGGGGAACTTTACAGTTAGGGCAAGTCTCACTGAGAGGATGATGTTTGAATATTATAAAGGGCCAAGAATGTTCTAGGCAAAAAGAGCATCAAATGCAAAATTAACAAATTGCCATGGAACAACTAGGAAAAGACTCACTTAGCAGCTGCATTTATGTTTTATTTTACAATTTTTAAAAACCATCCTGTCTGCTCTTCTTGCTCAGATTCCATGCTCACTGAAGAGTAACTTAGAGGGTCAGTAATATAAACCAAGAGATACTGCACAATTATAAGCAGAAGATGGAGGCCTGGACAAGAGAGTTAGCAATGGATGTGGACAAACACAGATAGAATTGGGATATATTTTGGGAACTGAGCCGAGAAAACACTGATTGAATGGATATGTGAAAGGAAAAATTAAAAATGACTCCTAGGCTTTGGTTTAAATAAATAGTTTGGGAGTGATGCCATTTCTGGAAATGGATAAGATTGTGAGAGGAACATAGTGTGAAGGAAAATAAATAGTTCTCTATTCCACTTATGTATGCTTCTCCAAGTGGAGATGTCAAACACATAGTTTAGGTAGTTCCAAATCTGGAACCTGGAAAGGGTCAGTCCTGGAGGGGTAAATTTATGAGTTATCATTATATGGATGGTATATAAAGCCACTGGACAAGAACAAACCACCAAAGAATAGTGTATCGATAGGGAAAGATGAGGCAGATTACGCTAGTTGAAACACACTGTAGAGAAGCACAAGAGGAAGCTAAATACTGTCTGAGTATTATCTATCCATTATTTCACACACAAGATCACAGTTGTCTATTGATTAGCCACCATCCCATGAGACAGAAACTATTAATATCACCATTTTAAAGAAGAATCTGACTCACACCAATGTTCATTTCTTTGTTAGAAGACTTTTCCAAATAGATAACCTGACTGGAAGCACAAGTTTCTATAATCTGCCCAGTCCTGCTGAGCTCCTACTACATGCATGCATGGCAACTGCCTGAACATAATAACATCACTGTTGGGGATCATGAAGCTAACAACCTTAAGGGTGGAAACTTTACTGCTCTTGACATTTTGAGTCATAATCTTTCTACAATTTGCCACCTGTTTCTCTGCCTTATTAGGCATAGTATGCAAACACAGTTTTGCCTTTTATTTTAAATGCCTCCAAATTTTATAAAATGTGGTGAATGTGGTGCTTGTCATAATATAAAGCAAAATGGAGTCATTAATTTTAGCAGTAAATAACTCATGAGGACATCATTATGTTTATCTTAATATCCTCATGGATTATTTGTCCTAAAATGAAAGCCTCAAACTGCTTTGCAGTCACTTATCTCTTTCCTTGACGTCACCATGGTTTGAGAAATCTACAGGTCTTACCCTTTAATATTATGTAAATTTGCCCTCACTTTGAACAAATGCATCACCAGGTTCACCTTCACTTGCTGCAAGTGCAGCTTTCAAAGCACTGAAAAGGCTTTGTGCCTTTTCTTGCAGACAGAAAGAAAAATAAAAAACCCACATTGAGTTCAGACACACAACCCAACAGGACAGAATGGACCTGTCCCATAGGGCTTCCAATGCTATAAATCTTTACAGAAGCAGAATGCCTCATATTTCTCCCACAGAGTAGTTGGTGGGTTCAAACAGCCAATCTTTTGGTTAGCAGCCAAATGCTTTAACCACTGTGCCACCAAAATAAGGATAAAGAAGAACCATTTGCACCTGTTGCAACTTACCTACAAATCTTACTTAAAGACATACTTAGAAAAGGACCTTATTCATAACCCAGGGACTGCCTGTAGTCCTAATGGCTATTATCCCTGCAGTAGAAGAAGCCTTCAGGAGAAAGCCAACCAACTGTATTTAATCAGTAACCAATGTTCATAAGTCGAAGGCCACAGGCTCATGAAAAGCACTGCCATGTCTTTTCTCAGAGCCCTGTTTCAAGTTTCAGCTGTCTTAGAATAAAGAAAATAGAAAAGAATCACGAAATAACATTTTCTAGAAAATCAAAATAATGAAATGAAACCCACCTTGTCCTTCAATAGTATTCCTAAGGACAAATGTAGCTCCAAGGCCTTTTCCTGATCTCTGGATGCAAATTCCCAGAAACTGGCTGATTTTTCCACTGGCATATGGGTCTGCTGTAGTAACACGAAGTATGCTTCCTACAAATTCAAAAGAGAAGTGACTTTTCATATGAGATGCAGAAACAAAATATGGCATTTCTACATATTTCAACATATTAGGAATAATTACTTCATGTGTACAAACCCAGGTATTTGAAAACAATTTTATTTATGCCGGGAAAATGAAACTTTTATGGATTGATGTGATAGTTGTTTGTGTGTCAACTTGGCTGGGCCTGGCTGAGTGTCTGGGCAGCTGGTGGTAGTTATTCCCCATGATGAGACTGGCAATCAACTACATGGTGGGATCTACCACAAGCAGCTGAGTAGCTGCCTTTGGGATGTGGTCTGCTTCCTGTATATAAGGAGAAGCCTTGGGAATAGTCTCTAGCCTATGGCACGCTTGGACCCTGCATGTAGCCGTATCATTGCTCAGCAGCCTGCTATGCTCTGCTGACCTTAGGACTTACAGTGGACTTAAGTTAATGGCCTGCCGTGTGGTTTGGTAACATCAGGACTGTCCCTTTTTCCTTGTCAACCCTGGGGCTTCTCAGCCTCAGCAGCCAGGCAGCTGAGTGAAGAAATGCCTCTAGTTCCAGTGGGCCGGGAGTAGGAGGCAGAGCTGGACCCCAAGGTTGAGGGGCTTTCACCCAGTCTCTAGAGCGTGGCACTTTGAACTTGGACTTAAAGCCTCCAAACTGTAAGAATAAACTGTTAAGGTCATCCCATTTGTGGTATATTTCTCAGAGCAGCACTAGGTAACCAGAACAGATCCAATTGTGTCCCCCCCAAAAATATGTGCTAGAAACCTAACCCTGTATATCCAAAATCAAACTCACTGCCATTGAGTAGATTCCCACTCATAGGGACCCCTACTGGGTTTCCAAGGCTATAAATCTTTACAGAAGCAGATTGCTTCATCTTTCTTCCATGGAGCAGCTGGTGGATTCAAACCACTGACCTGGGTTAGCAGTCAAATGCTTTAACCACTGTTATCACCAGAACTCCTAACCCCTATATTATGGGGAGAAAAGAAAAAAAAAAAAAACCTCACTGCCATTGAGTCAATTGTGGTTCACAGAGACCCTCTTTGAGTTTCCAGGGCAGTAAATCTTTATAGACATAGACTGCCCAGTCTGCCTTCAGTGGAGTGCCTGGCAGGTTTGAACCAACCTTCTGGTGAGCAGTCAAATGCCCTAGGCACTACACCACCAGCTTTTTAACAGAACTGTCTTTGTTATGCTGATGAGGTCTTAACAGTGTGGAGTGTGAGTTAAGCCAATCACTTTTGAGATTAAAAAAGGACTTTAGGCAGAGAAGAAAGCAGACACAGGTGGAAGACCAAAACGACCTGGAGACAACAGAGGAAAAAATCAGTCCATAAGCCCAGAAAAGCTGAGACAAGGACCTTCCCCAAGAGCAGAGAGAGAGAGGGAGAGAGACAGAGAGAGAAATAGAGCCTTCCCCTGGAGCCAACGCCCTGAATTCAGTCTTCCACCCTCCTGAACAGTGAGAAAATGAATTTCTGTTCAAAAAAATCATCCACCTGTGGGATTTATTACAGCAGCACTGAGAAACTATGACATAACTGTGGGAGTTAAGGTTATGTGTCAACTTGGCTGGGCCTGGTTTTGAGTGGCTGGGCAGCTGGATGTACTTATTCCCCATAGTTAGACTGGTAATCAACTTCATGGTAGAATCTACTGGAGCAGCTGAGTTATGGATGTGGTCTGCTTCCAGTTTATAAGACGCAACCTTGAGGAAGGTCGCTAGCTTTTGGCACCCCAGAATCCTTCACGTAGCTCAGTTGCTGTTCAGCAGCCTGCCATGTTGTCTGCCGATCTTGGGACTCTTGATGAATTTCAATCAATGGCCTGCCACGTGGTTTGGTAGTATCGAGACTGTTCCTTTTCACTTGTTGACCTTGGGTTTGTCAGCCTCAGCAGCCAGCAGCTAGCTGCCTGAGTGAAGAAAGCCTCCAGCTTCAGTGGGCCGGGAGCAAGAGACAGAGCTGAAGATAAAGGTCAAGGGGCTGTCACTCAGCCCCTAGAGCCTGGAACTTTGAACTCAGACTTGAAGCCTCCAAACTCCTGTTTGTTCAAACATCCACCTGTGGTATTTCCCTTTAGAGCAGCACAAAGTAACCAAAACAATAACCCTTTTACCACTAATAATAAAAGTATCCTGCTTTTACTGACCAACATAGAACTCTGGAATGGGGAGAACTTTCCTCCTTTCTAACATATCTTTTCTTTCTATTTGAAATTTCAGAGGATTTGTTCTTCCTCTTGGAGGAATGAATTCAGGACTCAAGAACCTGTGAAAAATATGAAAAACAAAATCAAAAGACTATTACAAGAAATATTGTTGCTTTACAAAGAAATGAATGCTATTGATTTTCCTTATCTAAAAAGTTGATCTTTTTCTCTAAAGTTGCCGTCAAAGCTCATGAAAATAGCTAACAATTTGGGTACTTGCCTGGCAGTGTATTAAAAGCTTTATTAAACCTCTAGAACATAAATTAATCCTTACTACAACTAGGAAGATTTGGTATTATCATCTCCTTCTTACAGATGAAGAAAGTGAGGCTTGAAAAATGTAAATAGCTGAACCAGTGTTACATGTTAGCTAAACTTACAGCTGATTGAAATGTTGGCATGTCTGTGTAACTCCAAAGCCTGTGACTAGAACCACAGTCCTCACACTGATTTGTACACATTATAATAAATTATGCTGGAAAAGAAAGGAACTTTAAAATCACCAATTAAACACTGACTTTTAAAATAATCATCCTATTTTGTTGAAAGTTACTGTTGAGTCGATTCCAATTCATGGTGACAGTGTGTACAAGTGCTCCAAAGGGTTTTCAAGGCTGTGACCTTTCAGAAGCCGATTTCCAGGCCTATCTTCCCAGAAGTATCTGGGTGGGTTCAAACCGCCAACATTTTGGTTAGTAGTCCAGTGCTTAACTGTCTGTGTCATCCAGGGACTATCCTAATCATCCTATTTCCTGATTTTAAACTCATTATTAATATTTAAGCTACAGAAAAAGAATAAATGACGTTATAATGAACACTCATGTCTCTACCACAACCTAAGAAACAAATGATCACTGTAGCTGAAGACTCTGTGGACCCTTACCTACTTCCTATAGTTAATTACCATCATCAATTTGGTGATGATTATGCCCAGGAGGTTCTTCCTTTTCCTCAATTTTCTATTTTGAAAATATTCAAACCTACTAATAGGTCGAGTAGGAGCTCTGGTGGCACAGTGCCTAAGGCATCTGACTGCTAACCAGAAGCCTGGAAGTTCAAACCTACCAGCCACTCCTTGGAAGGAAGACTGGGCAATCTACTGTAGATACCGCCTCAGAAGCTCAAGGAGGGGTTGCAATGAGTTGGATTCTACTCGATGGCAGTGAGGTTTTTTTTTTTTTTTAAATAGGTTGAGCAAATTTCAGATACAAATTGCTAGAGATTTTTACCATGGTACCACATCTGCAGGAATTCCACCTACAACTTGGTCAGTTCTGGCCAATCTACTCCTAACTCAGAATTAAGGATATTTTATGAAAACAAATTGGCTCCAGAATGTAACAACCTAGAATATGTCTTTCAACTGGCTTCACCAATTGTTAGTTAACATTTTGTCTATTTGCTTTATATATACATAAAACTTTTCTCAACCATTTAAAAATGTCAAACAGCAATGTATTTCATCCCTCAATACTTTAGAAAGCATCTAAGAATAAGGACCTTCTCCTACAGGTCACAGTACTTGTATGACACTTAAGAAAATTATAATGTAATATATAATTCATATTCAAATGTATTAATTGTCCAGGAAAAAGTCTTTTATAAAAGCTATTTGTTCTCCAATCTAAGATATAATCAGGCTTCACACATTGTATCTACTTGTTAGTCTCTATCCTCTCATCTTTTTTTAGAATACTGACTTTCTAGAGGTAGAGTCTATTATCTTATAGACCATCACTGGATTTGTTTTGTTTCCACATGCCTTGACTGAGGTTAAACATTTTTGCTAAGAATATTACAATGGACGTGGTGTGAATTTTCTAATTGTGTAACATCAAGAGATACATAATGTCAGCTTGCACCACTATCAGCAAAGCTAGCTAGGTTCAATTACTTGATTGGGATGGAGGATTTCCCCTACACATTTGGGTACACTGTATGTATTTCATTGCTCCAAAGGAAAGTTGGGCAATCTACTTCCGTAGTGATACTGCGTGGGAAACCCAAGGAGGGGTAGCTATGAGTTGGACCCGACTTGGCGGCAGTGAGTTTGGTTTTTATTTTTTTGGTATGCATTTCACATGTATAAATATGTATGTCTGCACAATATATAATATTTAGTGTCGTTTCAGTCTTTATTTAAAAATGCTATCATATTATAGGAGCTCTGGTAGCATAGTGGCTAAAGCACTTGTCTGCTAACCAGAAGGCTGGCGGTTCAAACCCACCAGCCACTCCTCGGAAGGAAGGTTGGGCAATCCTACTTCCGTAGTGATACTGCCTCGGAAACCCAAGGAGGGGTCACTATGAGTCGGGGCCGACTCGACGGCACATAACAACAACAACATAACAACATAACAAAGAAAACCAAACTCACTGCCCTGGAGTTGATCCCTACTCACAGAGACCCCTTCTTGGGTTTCCGAGGCAATATCACTATGGAAGTAGATTGGCCAATCTTCATTCCGAGGAGTGGCTGGTGGGTTTGAACCTCCAGCCTTCTGGTTAGCAGCCAAATAACTTTGTCATTATACCAGGAGAGTTCTCTTCTTAGTCTACATCGTTGTGGTTGTTATGTGCCGTTGAGTCAGCCCCGACTCATAGCAAACGTAAGGAGACTGCCCCATCTTCCTTCCGAGGAGTGGCTAGTGGGTTTGAACTGCCAGCCTTCTGCTCAGTGGTCAAGTGCCTTAGGCACTATACTACCAGAGCTCCTTCTTAGTCTATAGGTTCCATAAATCCTTTTTTATTTCCAGTTTGAACTCTAAAATATTTGAAATTTCAAAAGGCACTGTGATCATCCAATTAACAATCCAGAGCCCTTTCAAACAACAACAAAAGGAAGGCAGTATCTCTACAGAAGTAGATTGCCCAGTCTTCCTACTGAGGAGTGGCTGGTGGGTTTGAACCACCAGCCTTCTGGCTAGCAGTCAAATGCCTTAGGCACTATGCCACCAGAGCTCTATAATTTTAAAAAGTTCTTTACACAGCTCTACCGGAACACTTTCTACAAATCCCAGTTCATCTAAATTTGCACGTAGCTTTCAAGGTTACCACCATTCATTTCCGTGAACCAGGCTTTTATGCACACTCTTTTGAAGAACAAATTTCAGACACAAGTTGGTGATATCTACCACGGTATCACGTCTGCCAAGAATTCCCACCTAAAACATAGGGAGTTCTGATCAATCTATTCCCACCCACGGTAGTCTTCTGTGGAAAGAGATCGGATCCAGCGCCTAAACAGGTATTAACGGGATAGGTCACAGAACTAACTCTTAAAAACAAACAAACAGAAAACAACCAAAACTCACTGCCATCTAGCTGTAAACCTTTGGAAGTAGATTGCACAGTCTTCCTTCCACGGAGTGGTGGGTTTGAACCGCCAACCTTCTACTTAGCAGTCAAATGCCTTACGCACTAGGCCACTAAATGCTAGAGTTGAATGAGTTATAAAGCTATAGAATTCCTACTTGAAAGTCTTATTAACTGGAGAGAAAATTCAATGCTGGCTGGGCAAGAAAGAGCGGAAACCAACTTGAGTTGGGTGCGCTTTATATATGTAAGCTCATAAATCCTAAATAAAAGCCCGTGTTCTGGGTGCTCTACCCCTGTTTCGGAGCTGAGACCCCTAAAGCAAATACTGATTCACGCGCCCTCCAAGAAGGGGGAATTGCGCCCAGGTTGCGGTCTTACCTCCTCTCCTGGCGCGGGGGTTGGCGCTTGTCCACGATGACAGGTTTAGGCGGTGGCTTGAATGTATCGGGCCCCGAAGGTCCAGTACTCTGTGGCCGTCCAGGGCCCGCGTAGGCCCCTGCGGGAGCGAACAACAAAGGTCAGGTCTGCTGGGGTGCCAACGCAATCACTGCCAGCATGCCATTCTACAGGGGTCTCCGCTTAGGTCTGCCCTGATCTCTTTTATCTAGGCCGCGAAAGCTGGAACCACATCACCCGAGCCCGACCCCAAGACCCTCCCACATCTCAGCTCGCAAGGCGCCCCCGGCTTACCGCAGACAGCACAGGCCGGTGCAGGGAGCAGTCCCCTGGCGGCTCTGAAGCTCCGGGTCAGGTCCACTACAGCCCCAAAGCCGCCTCTAATGCAAGCCGCCATGTCCACTCCGCAGGCCAAGACTACAACTCCCAGTAATCAGTGCGACAAGGCCGCAGCCATCTGCGGCGGGACGGTGGCTGCTATGGGACCTAAGAGCCAACTCTTTTAATTTTCCTCCCCGCTACCCCCACCAAAAAAAAAAAAAAAAAACCTCACTGCCATTGAATTGGATCCCACTCATAGACCCCTCCTTGGGTTTCCCAGGCGGTATCACTAGGGAAGTAGACTGCCCAATCATCCTTCTGAGGAGGGGTTGTGGGTTTGAACCGCCAGCCTTCTGTTTACTAGTCAAATGCCTTAGGCACTACGCCACCAGAGCTCCGGTATAGGGGTGTGGCTTGGCACGTTATGAGAAACAAAAGAAATACACATTTTTTTTTTTTTCCTAGGCTAGCAGTCTACTTCCGTAGTGATGTCGCCTCGGAAACCCAAGGAGGGGTAGCTATGAGTCGAGCCGACTCAACGGCATTGAGTTTGTATTTTTGGTTTTTGACACCCCCCTACATGGGTGCATTATCAGCCTAGAAAGCCCCCACTTCCGTCAACTTTTCCTTCACTTTCTCGGGCAAGGCTTTCCTCCGTTAAAACTCCCATTATAGCCTTTCATTTGTGTCGTAGGCATTTACCAGACTTGCACTCTGTTGGAAGTGAAAGCAAAAAGTGTTATTGTGGAAAAACGGAACACATCGATCAGAGTACTAAACTATTCCGAATTGCAGAAAGAGCGCTTTTATTAGATAAACAAAGAGCTGCGCGCTCGCTGGCACGGTAAGGGTACAAGGTAAAAAGTTGCAAGGGGTTGTTAAACTTCCTTGGATTTTTGTCTTAACATCAGTAAGTCTGTTTCTTAACATAGGACAATTGAGTCCTTGCATGATTGCCTCTTCGTCTTAGTTCTAGATTTACATGTAGCAAAAATTGAGAGAAAGTATCGGTGAATTAATGAAAATGAAATGTGGTTTGAGGGAGTCAGGAAATTAGAACTAACACTTGGTTGATTGGCGTGTTACCCCATCTTGGTTAGAGTTAGGAGAAAATTGCAGGGGTTCGTTTTTACTTAACATTATCAATTCTGTTACCTGACCTCTTGGGACATGTTGACTAAAAGTATTCTCTCTAGGACAAGCTGCACAAACATTCTCAACAAACATCTTTTAACAAACAATTCCTGGCACAGCTAAAAACTCCGACCCTTTTTCCTTTCGTGTTACAAGCAGTTAAACTTTTACAAGCAGCTGACTTGTCTTTTAAGAACAACAGAAGTGAAGATTTCAGGTGCAGCTGCAGCTGCAGCTTAATTTGAAAATGGAGTTTCACTTTTAGTTCTGGGACAACCATTTAGATGTACCAAATGCTTCAGTTTTTGGATTTTGCTTATACATTGGTACTGGGTATAGTAGCTCTCATCTCCTTTGCAATTTTTCCTTTACTTGTAATAATAATTGGATTGGTGTCCAACTCCACAATCATAGTATAAGCTCCATGAGGACAGGGATGAGGTCTTCCTCTGCACCTAGAACCTACCTGGCACTCAATAACTTTTAGTTGAGAGCAAGTGAGAGTGGAGATGGAGGGTTTCCTAACAGAACAGGTGGTACAAAGTACCTAAAACGACAGAGAAACAGAACTTGAGTTGGGGCTAGACAGCTCTGGGTGAGTGTGGCTGGGAGAGAAGAAGCTGAAAACAGTACATTTTAATTCTTTTTAAAATATTTAGAATTTGTATTCTTGCCAATGATGAGCCACTGGAAGGACTCAACATTGCTGAAACATGATTATTTAACTATTTACTACCAGCCATTCCAGAGTCGTTGGATGGTGAAAATGGTTAATGTGCTTAGGTGCTATGTGAATGATTAGAAGTTCAAGTCCACTCAGAGGCACCTTGGAAGAAAAACCTTGCTATTTAACTCAGAAATAAATAAATAAATAACCAGCCATTGAAAACCTTATGGCACACACGTGGTCACTTTGAGTTGGAATCAGCACCCCCACAACTGGTTAACTGGTCATTTCATTTGGATTAATGCCCTATGAGTACCTAACAGTCAACATGTCCATACTGAATGCATCATGTTCATCTTCAAGCATCCTCCTTAGTGTTGGCTTGTTGTCGTTGTTATGTGCCGTCGAGTCAGACCCAACTCATGACAACCCCTCTTTGGGTTTCTGAGGTGGTATCACTATGGAAGTAGATTGCCCAACCTTCCTCCTGAGGAGTGGCTGGTGGATTTGAACTACCAGCCTTCTGGTTAGCAGTCAAATGCCTTAGGCACTACGCTACCAGAGCTCCTTAGTATTGGCTATCTCACTAAATGGCTATGTATATGTATATCCACTGTGTTGCTCAAAGCAAAAAATCTCAGTGCTATCTTTGACTCCTCCCTGTCTTTTCCTTGGTAAAGTTCCTAAAGCTACATCTGGCACCATCAAATATCTCTGAAATCCTTTTACATTCTCATACTCCCATTCACACCTCTAATCAAGGTCACCATCCTTTATCTTCAGGATCACTGCAAATCACTGTACCTGCCTTCTTCTTGGTCTTCCCACCAATTTCAAACACAACCAAAAGATGGCTCAAAGATGCATACCTAGGCCTTGTGTCCTAGTTATCTAGTGCTGCTATAACAGAAATACCACAAGTGAATGGCCTTGTTGTTGTTGTTGTTAAGTGCCATCGAGTCGTTTCCGACTCATAGCGACCCCATGCACAGCAGAACGAAACACTGCCCGATCCCGCGCCAGCCCCACAATCCATGCTATA